CGTGCCATCAGTGCACTTCAGGGCGCGACGTAACGCCATCTCGTGGCACGTCGCGGCACGCGGTCCCACCCCCCCCCCCTCGCTCCCGTGTCCGTCTTCTCCGTCGTATTTCGCCGCGTTCGCGTCGTCAGCTTCACTCGACAAGTCGGAAAAATGGCCACTCGTCTGCTGAGGATCAGCAGCGCATTGCGCACGTATTCCAATAAAACCAGCCTTGTAAAGGTAAAACCGATTACAGCTCACGATGTGCAGTCATCGTATCGTAGTAGCGGTTTCAGCCTCGCTGCCGGTCCATTCGTTCAACTTCTAGCCAAGCTCGGGATATCCTCCCTTCGCAGCCTCCCCTTACGTAATAAGAGAAAAAAAAACAATGATTCTAGGACTTGTAACGTGCAAAAGCAGCGCGACTGTCCGAATAATTAGTTCGCGTTGTTTTGCCGTGAGATTCGATCAGTTAAGTGTAAACGTTGGGTGCACTCGAATACATGTCTAACCTTGCTTCATCAAGTGTTGGTCTCGCGTCTTCCTTTGACAGATGTGGTTCGATGCATCTCTCATAAAGAACATTTAAGTCAATGTTATATACCTGGGGGCCAATTCTGTATCTTACAGTACAGTGAAAATGCTGACAGCGAGCGGCTTTGTCTCCTTCGAAGGAGACGAAGCCATTCACTTTTAGCATTTTCACTATGCTGCAAGATACAGAATTTGACCCGCTTGTCATTACCTCAATAGGAATGCAACATGTGACAAACGGCATTTACTAAGATTTGAGACTCACACCTTGCGCCTTGTAAAGCGTCTCTTTGGTAAAACGTTAGACGTATTCGCGGATATTTATTAAAAATGTAAACGTATCAAAGAGAATCTCTAAATTTTCTTACAGTAAATTGAATGTGGACAAACTGCTGTGTATTTTTAACGGGAGGTATACGTTACCCGTGCTCTTTACTGATGCATTCAGGTATCGGCGCAATGGCAGTCGACCGCTGCTTCCCTGAAAGAAGCCCTTATCAATCAGCCGGCCACGAGAGTGACCACTCTCGACAGCGGGATGAGAGTCGCCAGCGAGGACAGCGGAGCCGCGACAGCTACTGTTGGTCTCTGGATAGACTCTGGCAGTCGGTATGAAACGGACGAGAACAACGGTGTTGCCCATTTCATGGAGCATATGGCTTTTAAGGTGAATCAAACAGTGTCTGTAACAAGGAATAATAATTAGTCGTAGTAGCGGCTTTTAGTACAGTTTATGGGATCTTGTATAATGATCAAGCCGAAGCAAACTGATACTGAACTCACTTGTTTCAACAGGGAACTGCTAAACGCTCTCAAACTGACCTCGAGTTAGAAATAGAGAACATGGGAGCACACCTGAATGCTTACACAAGTCGGGAACAAACGGTGTTTTATGCAAAATGCCTGTCGCAAGACGTGCCGAAAGCCATCGAGATTCTCAGTGATATTATAAAAAATTCTAAGCTGGGCGAGAGCGAGATCGAGAGGGAACGCGGCGTTATCTTGCGCGAGATGCAGGAAGTCGAGACGAATTTGCAAGAGGTTGTATTCGATCACTTGCACGCCGCTGCGTTTCAAGGTACGTCCTTGGGACGAACGATACTGGGGCCTACTAAAAATATCAAAAGTATCTCGCGGGACGACCTTCTTACATACGTGAAAAATCATTACGGGCCACCTAGGTAAGGTTCCTGTCCGTTGGTTTATGCAGCTACATTTTACTGTCGGCGATCAAAAGATGCGAATATCAATTTCTTTAGATTTGTACTAGCTGGTGCCGGCGGTGTAGATCACAATCAGCTGATCGAACTTGCCGAGAAGCATTTTGGCAAGATGTCAGGACCGGATTATGATAAAGTTCCAGACTGGATTAAATCCTGCCGCTACACTGGCTCTGAAATAAGAGTACGTGATGATACGATTCCCCTCGCTCATGTTGCGATTGCTGTTGAAGGTATTAGAAATTGATGCTCTAGATGAATTAATTGTGACATTATATAGAGTAATCGATAAACATTTTGGCTGTAGGCGCTGGATGGGCTGAGGCGGACAACATTCCTCTTATGGTCGCGAATACCCTCATAGGAGGATGGGATCGTAGTCAAGGAGGAGGTGTAAATAACGCGAGCAGTTTAGCTAAAGCTTGTGCAGAAAACGGCTTATGCCACAGCTACCAGAGTTTCAACACATGCTACAAAGTATGTGTTAAATAAATGTCGCCGATCTGCGGCGATACATAAAACACGGTTGTAACAATTCGTGTACGTATCGAGTCAGTGAATGTATCGTCTTTTAATCTTGCAGGATACAGGACTTTGGGGTATATACTTTGTTTGTGATCCTATGCAGTGTGAGGATATGACATCGTACATTCAGCATGAATGGATGAAACTGTGCACGTCGGTTTCTGAAAAGGATGTGACACGTGCAAAGAATATTCTGAAAACCAACATGTTCTTGCAACTGGATGGAACCACTGCCATTTGTGAAGACATTGGCCGTCAAATGTTATGTTACAATCGCCGTATTCCACTCCACGAGCTCGAGATGAGGATAGATGTATGTAGTTTCTGTTGTATGAATTAGAGCTTTCGATACACAAGTGAATCAATGTTACAAGGAAATTTTCTGCAATTAAGTTTATACATTTTTATGCATGTGTATATGAGATGTGTCAAAACGTAAATCTTCAGTACAAAAGAAGTAAATATCCGACAGGATTTATTGTAATAAAATTTTATCCTACTTTTTTAAGAAGCTATTTAAAAGATATTAATAAGAATAATTATGTCATTTATTTTTCAGAGCGTAACTGCTGACACTATTCAAAATGTTGGCATGAAATACATTTTCGATCACTGTCCAGTGATCGCGGCAGTTGGTCCAGTTGAAAATTTACCGGATTACAATAATATTCGTGGAGCTATGTATTGGCTCAGGGTGTAACCATCTTCGAGCATCAGTCATCAATAAATTTTAGCAAATTAGAAATAAAAGTACGACACGCTTATGCCTGCCCTACTTCCGATAAAATGTCCATACAACTCGATAATACTAATAAATTCAGTTTCCAATAACAATATAAGAATTGTGTCTTTCACTATATGAGATTGTAGTTTTATTTGGCCATACATTTACCAAATGTTCATCGATGTATATTGTCTGGCGAAAATAAACAGTCGAAAATACGTTTTGCATATTTGTGGAGTCATTTTCAAGTTTAACCGATAGTAGAACCTACATGCGTATCTTATTAAATTAATTTTTTTATATGTTCAGAATAGAAATAAGTCCATTAATATTATACTATAAGATAATATTAAAAGAAAATTAATATTTCTGAACAAATAGACGATTATAAAAGACGATAACAAGATAAAAATAAGTTCTACATAAAAGCAACTTTAATTTGATCTCCATTAAAATATATAAGCAATAAATAGGTAATATATTTTTATTTGCACAATACACATACAATTTATGCTCGTGAATTATCTAGCCATTGACAAAGGAAGCAGGGCTATTTAAATCGATATTTGTACTTATTTGGACTGTAGTTACCATAGTAAGTATGCTATAATAATTCTAAATATGTTTAAAATAAACTTTAAACTTAAGTACAGACATAAATTTCAGTAATTACATTGTTAACACTGATAAACATCGTTTATTTACTGAATAAATACAGGGAACTAAAGACGGGATAAGATTGCATCAAAGGGTAAAGTAAAATATAAAGAGAGTTTCGAGAGATTGCATGTCTGTACTTGAGTTACACCGTAAAATGATGTAATATTTATTATCAGCACAATAATCTTTGGCATAATGAGAATATGCAAATCTGAAATTGACCTATTTATCTTGACTTATGTATATACTTAGTTACATAGATTATATAAAAGATACAAATTTTTTTTGGTTTTATTCTGTATTCAAACTTTGTTAGTTAAAACGTTAGGTAATGCATATTTATCATGTAAATGGGCTAATAAAATAACATTGTTGGTGTTAAAATGTATATTTTAGTGTAGAAAGGAATATGGATTTCCTATATATTTACAAAAATTTTTGGCAATACTCGTTTACTTTATATTCCTCGAAAATTCGTTCTTGCACATAAAATATTTAAATATTTAATCTGGTAGTAAATGTGCAATAGCATTTTCTTAATTTCATTGTTTTATTATTTTTTTATGCATGCTGTGCAGATCTGAGCTTTATATTTCAAGGTGAATAAATGTTTTAATTACTAATTATTAACTGCATTATAAATTTTCTATCACTTTGTTATCGTGAAGTTTTTCCATATTTCTTGCTTTATTAGTATCTATAGTATCATATTTTACAAAAATATGAACGTAATTGTAAATATCTGACAATCCAAATAAGATCTATAGAAATCACAAAAAATTAAACAATGTTAATATAAATATCTAATATAATGTCTTACAAAGACAATGAGAAAAAGGTGGCCACACTAAAGAACTAGAAGAAATAAAATGTTTAAGATTCAATAACAGTTTCGATCTTAAGAGTTAAACGCTTCATGTTCTAACAAAAAATTTGGAGATTTAACTTTTCTATCACCATAACTTAAATATGTATAAATATTGAGTATATATTGTTATCTTAATTTTGGAACTAATTAGATAATACATGCAATGATATATCTAATTAGCTTATTAAATATTGCACCTATGACTATGCTTTAAGCATTTTAATATAAACATAAGAATAGAAATTTTGTAAATTACATTATGAGTTTTCTCTCTTGCTTTTGGAGATAAATATATTTCAAAAATGTAACTAATAACTCAATTTTTATAAGATAATGCACATAATGCATGTTTTCAAATTGCTACTAATGTCTCCTGCAATAAGTCATCTTGAAAAATTGTATATTAGTAAACTGTTACAAGAACTAGGTTCTATTTTCATATAAAATCAGCATATGGCTTTCTTTCTCTGCTTGCCCGGAAGTTCTGTTATTGAGTAAGTGTAATTATCAGTTTTATCAAATATGACTACGAAATAACTATCTGCTTTGATTGCTCGATGGCGCTGTGCTTTGAGTAGGAGAAACGCTATCCTTACAAACTTTGGCAGTCATTTCAGCTAACGGTTCTAATTCCTTAGGATTAATTAAATCAAATTCTGTTACAAAGTAGTAGAAATGCTTGTAACATGTATTCACATGCGCCTCCTAAAATAATGACACGTTCGTTCAAAGATCTCTGTAATGTGGTAAAATATTGAAAATACTCCAGTGTTGATGTACTTACCGCTCCTATTGCTACAATACGATCAAAGTGATGGATATACACGTGAACGAAGACCCTGAAGAGGCGTGTCAAGATTTTTCTACATAGCGGTATAAATGTTTTGGGAAATGGCACATCTGTAAGAAACATTTATACATCTCGATATAAAGCAAGATCACTCTATATCAAGTAATGTCGTAAGACGAATAGCAAACCTGTTGACACTGGAAAAACCGTTTCGTTATTTATTTGAGCTTCGATCCAATCCATAAGAAGGGCAACGTATTGCGGCGCTGGTAACGCCGTTGGCTTCTTATATTTTTCACCGTCTGCCCACAAATATTCGAAACGCGCTCCACCGCTCATCGTTGGACAAGATGCCGAGTCACAGTACTCAGATACAGTACCGTATATAAGATTTATTCTATTAAAAAAGTCTACGACTGCAAGAAGAAAGAACAATATATAACTATTGTGTTTGCTCCCTGTAAACAAGATGTTTTTCATAGAATGGAATAGGATTCGAGTGCTTGGAATATCTTTCTCATCAAATACAATGCAGAAGTAGGATCAAGACAGCACTGGAATATTCTTAATGAAATTTTTATGTAACATCAAATCTTTGTATCGCTATTGAACATTTCACATACCGTGAACGGCGATCCAGTCATTCATATCTTCCCCGGGAGGTAATTTGACGACGGATCTCAGGTTGATTCCGGAATTGAGAGAAGCTTGAGCTTGCTTGTGCAAAGAATAACGCAACGTTCCATGAGCAAACTTCCTCTTCGGCCGAAACGTCTGTAATCGCAATAATAATGTATAAACGTGTTTTCTTAAGAATAGTAAAATGCAACAACACAAACTGATTCTTACACCCCACTACGCTATATGAATTTTATTTATTTCAACAATACTATTTAAAAATAAGGAGGAAGGCGAGTTGTCACGGGTCTTAAACCAAACTCAATTTTAGGTTAGTCTACCGTAAAATCTCGCAGGTCAACGGCGGTCTTTACCTTGCCTTTCTGGAAGAACTCTATGAATCCGCTCAACGTGGTCATCGTGCGTGCGAAGAGCTATTGTTGTCCTCAGTTGTTTATTCTCGCAAGAAACTTGAGAGGGGAAGACACGCTTGGCCTACGTGCAGCTCCGAATCCTCGCCGCTACGCTCGCCGGCATTTTCACAGGGAATAAGTGGAACAATATTTTATCCGATCGCGCACGGGAGAGTTGCGAGAAGAGAACCCGTTTAAATTGTGTCCGCGGACGTGTTTTTACGCCCCCGAGTGCGTTCAACGCGCCTGACACGCTCCGATGCGTTCCGCAACGTCCTGTGACCAGAATGTCACCGAGTGTGACTGACCGCAGACGCCGATGCGCAAAGCGCAAATTGCGACGCGATGCGGCGATGCACTCGCGACTCGCGTAGCATCAACAAGGCGCTACTGAAGTCTGGGTCTGGTCTTACGCGAAAGTTCGCGCGACTGCCAAAATTTTGACTACTAGCTCACGACACAACGTTAATTTTATGATTCATTATTCATCCGGTGTCTCGTAGATGCACGCGTGCATCTACGATAATACATGAATCGTTTATTTGAACCTGCACTTTTTTTTATCGCTACCATATTTCCTATGCAGGTGATGATGGGACGAAATAAAATTTCATCGTTTAATATCGCGTCGGTAGCTGTGATGTTTTAGCAGGTGCTTGAACGAATCAAGAGTGCTAAGTATTTGTTTTTAACTTAAAAAAAGATTTAGAATACGGGATCGGTTTGGTTATGAATTTAAAATAGGAAGCTTATTAAATTTTTAATGAAGAATGTTGACTTATTTCTTTTAACTAGAACGCGTATGCCGGTTAATTAATTTCAGAATACCGAGCTTGTTTAATAATTGTATAACAAACCTTCATAATATTACGCAGGAAAACGCGCATCTCAAACTAAAGAATAATTCTTCGATTTTATTTCATAGCCCCTGTTGGCTCCTGAACACTGGACGCGGTAACGTTCCCGCGCGGCGGAACTTTGCTAGGAAAACCAGCACTAGCCAATCCACATCCGAGCGTTGGTTGGCTAGTGCTGGTTGCCCTAGCCAAGTCCCGACGCGTCCAGTCCAGTGGGCAGGAGCCAATCCTCGACGCCAGCGGAAGAGGGACCGAACGGCGCGTCCATCCAGGGAGAACCGCAAGCTCCATCCAGTGGTCCTGCTCGGCCGGGCAGCCTCTGCCGTCTGCGGCGAAGCCGCCCGGGCGCCGCTCTTATATAGCCCAGCGTGTTGCAAGCGCCGACCAATCGCCGCTCGCCGTCGCCGCGCCACGCCATTGGCTGGAGGGCAGGTGGTGGGGAGCCGGGATATACACCCGGCGAGCAAGGGAGCGCCGACCAATCGGCGCTCGGCGCTGCGGCGCGCCACGGCATTGGCTGGAGGACTGGTGGTGGGGAGCCGGTGGTGGAGCCGGGGTATATAAGGAGCGAGCAAGTCGCGCGCGGCCAGTGGCTTCCAGGCGACGGACGGCAGCGGATGGCAACGGGCGGCAGCGGGCGGCAGCCGGGAGCCGATGGCGAGGATGCAGCGGACGGCGCACTCGGATTGGCTGAGCGCCTCTGCCAGCCAACCCGAAGGCGTCCTCTCCACCGGTCACCGCGGATTCTTCTGGAAGCACTGCGTGCGTCGCTATTGAGAGCGATCGCTAGTAGATAATGATGCGTCGCACGAAGAATGCAACCGGCAACCTTTCCAGAGATCCTTCCTCCAAATTCCCAAGGCGTCGATGAAAGTTGCTGACGTGAAGCTCGGCTAGGATCTTTGCTAAAAGCTTGCAAAGAGATGTTTCTACTTCTTTCCGGCACATCCTTCTTCCCGTTTATGATTTTCTACATCCCTGCTATAAGATCTTCCTATCCAAGGTAGGGTATTGAGTTGTTGACAGGTCAAAGGTTAGACTATAAGATAGCCAGCGCGGCTTTCTCGTCGGCCGATCGTTTCTCTCGTTTCAGACGGTTGAGAATTTAAGTCCCGACATACGACGTATACTATAGCAGGCCTTAATCTTATATTACTCGATATTAAACGCGTCGCGCGATCGAATGCATCTCGACGAGGAAGAGAATCGCGAGGAACGCGTTCCGAACGGTTGATGTTCCGGTTCCGCGGCAACTAAGAACCTTCGGCTTTAAGAATCACTCTTTCGCGCGAGCGTCGACGGCGACGAGTCTCACGACGTATCTTCCGACTTTTCGCGTAAACGCGAAACTTTAAAGACACCGTGCATAGAAATTAGATCGTCCGCTTCGCGTGGGCGCGGATAATTTCTGGCGCTCGCGGTCTGCGCCGCACTGGTTTTTGGTTCACGTACGTTTGTCGCGCGAACGCGCGGGACGCGCTGCCATATTGCGACGCGAGTTAACAATAAAAAAAACGGACGCAACTGTAAGAACCTTCGGCTTTAAGAATCTACTCTTTCGCGCGAGCGTCGATGGCGACGAATTTCACGACGTATCTTCCGACTTTTCGCGTAAACGCGAAACTTTAAAGACACCGTCCATAGAAATTTGATTGTCCGCTTCGCGTGGGCGCGGATAATTTCTGGCGCTCGCGGTCTGCGCCGCGCTGGTTTTCGGTTCGCGTGCGTTTGTCGCGGGACGCGCTGCCATATTGCGACGCGAGTTAACGATGAAAAAACCGGACGCGATGGCCTCGTCGCCGGGAATCGCCGCGTTATATTCGTCCGCGGGTGGTCGTCGTAGTTTCGTCGCTCGCGAAAGGCGAGGTGTCGCGGTTCATTGGAAGCATTCAGTTTCCCGTCCGCGATATTGCGATGCGAATTAACTCTCTGCCTCTGTTAAATTCCTTTAGAAAGTAAATACCGAGCCGTGAGTGCGCTGTCGATCGTCGAGGGAAATTTCACGGACGACGTCGGGGGAAATTTCACCGGGGACGTTGAGGAAAACCACGCGGGAGTGGAGATTCGCACTGGTGGAACTCGATTGCAGTTCGTCGGGGTGGTGAGTGGTTTTCCAAATTTCGCCCGCGCCTAATATCGGGCCTGGGCCCTAACGCCCCTGGTTCTCACCAACGTCGTTTAACTTTGATCCTGGTTAAGTGTATCTTCTGTCTCTCTCCAAGGGGACAGTTTGAAAGAGACAAAGGATGAATTAAACTAAGATCAGAGTTAAACGACGTTGGTGAATATGGGCATTAATGTTAATTTCAGCTGGCCGATTAACTCGCAGTTCGTTCGCTACCAATAAACACCAACTAACAATTATGTAACATCGTTGCATTTGTAATTTCTTATAATATAAATTCTTATAATATGTAAAACACATGTTCATAACAATAACATTATTGAGATTCTGCATTCTTGCTAGAAAATTATAATATTGATATTATGTATATAGCTGTTAGCTGGTGTTTATTGCCGCCTCTCTCGCGCAAAGAGTGCGAGGGTATTTTTGCTTTTATCGGTCTAAACATTTGAAATTTTTAGGAGAAAACGAGCGAACTCCATAAAAATATTCTACGGAAATATTTTCCCAAATAGTACGAACAATCTTTATAAATTCGAAAAGGATCTACTTTTTAAATTTTTTACGCATCAACGCAATCCGTTCAAATTAAACTCCAAAAGAATTCGTTTCCGATATAAATATTTGTAGAGTTTTTTTAAAAGACACACTTTTGTACCCGGAAAAGAGCTCGGAATTGGTTACATAAAAACAAATTCTTTTTGAACTTTTAAGAATATTTTTAGAATGGGAATGGGAGGGAAAAAGAAAGAGAGAATTCGTTTTGATTCTCTGTGCTATTTGGGCTGAATGTGGAGATAAATATACGTATCTTTTTTAAAAGTGACTCATATCCCTTAAAAAAATACAATGCGGCCCTTTCGCCGATAAAAAATTCACGATTAGACGAATCTTAGAATATACAAATACAAACTTCATTATGAGTATATCAAATTTTCCTCAAAATCACTAACAATTTATCTACATAATAAAGTTGCCAATTTTTCTCAGGTATTTTTTAATAAAATGAATACCCGAAGTATCACACAAAATGTATGTTTTCACCGTGGCTGTAGACTGGTTCTCTTCGTTTTATGATTAGTTTCACTGAAATATTAGTTCCTTACTTTTTTCCATTACAGATTTTGCGTGGTAAATAAAATACTGTAACTTTTTTTGAAATTAGGAAAAACATGGATAACTTTGTTCCTCTATTACTTAGACGTAGTGAAACTTTCAAGTTACTCTGTGAAACTGTTCTCGAGAAAAATTGGAAACGATTTTCACGAATTTTTTTCAACTTCTATTTGACAATATGCAGCGAGTTGTATGTGGCTCAATTAAAATATTTCGTTATCGGGCTTCGATTCTTTTCTGTCCCAAATCTAAAAACTGTGTCAGTTTAGTTGTCACTCTTCTGTTTATTTTATACATAAACCGTAATGTAGAAAGAAACGAAGAATTAGTAATCGAGAGTTTTATTTCTCGCTGCATAAACACATATATCCGTTATTTCTTTGTGTTATATCGTAATATCAAATAGACAGATTTTTCCGCTTGAAAATACAATATAAGATAATAACGTATCAAAGAACCAGGCGTCGGTATGTAAGATACAAGCGGGTGAGATTACAGCTTCCCGTTTTTCTAAATTATCTTTTATGGATAACGTTCGAAAGCATAGCTTTCGTTGATAAATTTGGAACTTTACGCAATCACTTATTGTTGATCGAAAATGTAACGAATGATAGAAAAGTGAAATTCAATCGGGATACTATTTCTTCTATTGACTTTTCACTCGCGTCTAATTTACTCTTCCAATTACATGAGCGGTGTAATACGTACGAATTTCCAGATTTGAATATCACTCAACATTTTTCAAATGTTCGAATAACCGTTTTGAATGCATGAAAAATGCAATAATGCACGGCACAAAGGTATAAGTAAAAAAAGTGTCTCCCTGGTATCTGCAATATACTCTCTAAAATTTTTGGAGTGAAAATACTGCCATAGAGTGAAACGTTCACCCTACTGGAGTTAATATTCACTCTGTTGGAGTAAGTATTCGCTCCAATAGGGTGAACGTTTCACTCCGTGGCAGTATTTTCGCTCCAAAAATTTTAGAGAGTATATTCACTTCTTTACTCTAAGCATTACTCTTGCAATGCCTACTCGTACAAGCTCGTACGAAACTCTCTCTAATTTATATTGCATTATCATCAACTTTTACTTCGTTGCCTCGCATCATAAATTCACATTAATCGAGCTTCCGTTTCAAGTTACTTATCCATCGTTTTAAATCACTCGCGCGTCTGATTTTTACAAAAACACCGGCGGTTCTGCCGTACAACACGTAACTGATGTATAATAATAAAGCGAGACATGTAGCCAGGCACAGATACGGTGCATAATAATGTATCCGTGACATATCGTGCCCGTGATACCGTAAATGTCTCGAGTTTGGAAATTTCAATACGTGTTCCACATGCCACACCGCCCTGTCTATAGGTTTCACCAATTCGTCCCGCACGATCGCCGACATCGTTTTGATATTGTTCAGATATCTGTAAATTACAATTGCCCCACGTTAAAATAGCATTTTGTTTGAGCTTTAATCATATCTATACGGGAAGAAAAATGTTGTCGAATTAATTTTAATTTTAAGCATTGAACTAAATATCCAGATCGTTAAGACAACAATCTGATGTTATTTATTTATTAATACTGATGTTGTTTCAACAATTTTATTTCAATTACACCGATCTTGTTGATGCAACATTATTCTTTTTTCCGTGTAGACATCGATAATTCTTTCAAAGATCGCGGCTAATCATTTCTTATTCCTTCAACGATCATGACTGACGCGATTATTCTGCGATTTTAATGCACTCCATTTAACTGGTACTTAAAATTATGCCATGTTAATCCAAAACGGTTATATTATCACATAATTTTTGCATCAATTAAATTTAGGATACACGTATATAACACAAGGTGTTTTCTAAATGAGTGTCAAAAATGCAAGAGGATATTTCTCGGCTTAGTTTATGAATTTACGAAATGTCGTATGAACGTACATATGTAAGCGTACCAAATTTTCTTCATAAGCCAAGAAATAGCATTTTCGACCCTTATTTAGGAAACATCCCGTATAAAACATGATTCGATGGGAAAAGACCGTAAGTCATTCTCGGCTTGGTTTAGACGTACCTTTTAGAAATGAGTCCGATACAAGAATAGCGATCGCGAGAGCGAAATGCCGCGAGGATTAATTTTTCGACGAAAGGTCACCGCTTCCGGCGTGATCCCGTGTCAGAAACCGGGTCATACTCACGTTTTATTTTCGATGATCTCCGTGAGCGTTTGCACGACGGAGTTTTCGGTTATGGTGTCGATGTTCAGTGTCAGTCCGATACCGGCGTCTAGGATTTTACGTGCGTTGAAATACTGATCCCCAAAAAAGGGAATCGCGACTACCGGCACGGCGTAGAGCACCGCCTCTTGTAACGACTGCAATCCGCCCTGCATCATGTACGCCATCACCTTGGGATGCGCTGCATATGTAAAAGCGTAAAGTACGTAAAGTACCGTAAAATGACGCTTTACTTACGGATTATTTGCTTTCGAGAATTACCGAGGGACCCGCGTGGCACGGCGGTGCAAAAAAAAAGAGAAAACGCGGCGGGGGGGAAGATAGAGAGGGGGGCGGAGGGTGGCAAAGTCCCGGGCGTTGATTACGGGCAAGCGAGATTTCATAAAAATGTCTGCATTGTCGTATTTATTTTTTTCGCGTCGTACTTTACGGCCGATTGATCGCATTCGAGTATCCACGCGCGCGCGGAATTTCCCCGACGAAATTCTCGCCGATGTGCATTTTTTACCGTCACACCGGGGAATGCCGGGGGAATGAGATTTTTTTTTTTCATTATACGTAACGCGATACACACTTCTCTCAATCAGGACATATTTTACCCGGGGAATTTGCGCGACACGGTTATTAGGCACGTCTTTTTCATTATACATATTTATACAATCTCCCCGTAGAAAATTTCTTCTGCTAAAACGAAGTTGGTCTTAAAACTTTTTTTTTAGGACCAACCGAGCATATTCCCCAAATGACGAAGTCTTACCGCTCATTTAAAATTAATCGAAGGAATCTATTATTAAAGTTCGTACTGAAATACTTTTGCGGCGTCACGTATAACATGAATGTCGTAATACGAACATCGAGGGTAGATGTGGACACGGCGGAAGGTGTTACACGTACAACGGGTCGCGATGCATCGATAATCCCAAAGTTTCGATATAATTGTGTCGTTTCTTTCGGTCACCGGTTCGTATTCCCAACACTAATACCGTTCTTCGCGCCGGCAACCGCTGCCTGTCTATCAATGTGTATAAAACTTTGTGCACGCTTGTGCATTTGCATCGAGCCAGTTGCGTTACCGCCAGCAGGAGTTGTTTGTCAGAATTTCCCGCGAGAATTTCACCGCCGCATGCGTCATGAGTTATCGTTTCGCTTCATTCCGCTGCGCCAGTCCGCGGCGTGCAGTTTCCTTGGTCGCGATAGTGTGCATTGTTGTGCGGCCATTTTTTGTTTTCATTCCAATACTTATCCTTAAGCGACTTGCGCAAAAATAACGCGTTTCGAGCGTTCAAACGCGGGAAAGGGCCTGGTATCGACGTGTGCATCGGCCTTTCTTATATTCTATGTTACTTTTCTCTTTGATGTGACGCGAGAGAGCGAGGGAAACGTTGGTCGAATTCAAACATCCGAGTAACGCGATCTCGATCGGGAGACAGCTTTGATGATCATTTCGAAACGCGTGGCAGCGGTGCCGTTTCGATCGTCGGGACTTTGTCCGATTGGAATCCAGCCGCGTGTCTCTCGACATAAAGGAGACCCGCGTTTCGTCTCTGGCGCTTAAATAATACCAGAAAATGGCGCAGCCGCGATATAATAGCGTAATTAAGCTGAAATCGTTTAAAGGTCCCGGATCACGCGAACGACACGTCCAAAGAATATTAGTCGGGAAAAATTAACGTGCTTTGCAAATAAAAGTGACGTTAAAGTTTGTCGAATGTCTGCATGCGATGGTTGGTACATCCTCGTAGTCGTCGTCGTCGTCAAAGTTTCTTTCTTGCGCTGAATTTTGCTTAACGAATCCGTGCGATTGTACACGTTAACAAAATAGGAATGTAATCGTTAAAGGTCTTAGTGTACGTTTCTCGATTCATTTATGGTAAAAGCGAACAAGTAGTTAGAGTACTTCGGCAATATATGAAGCATTTATGAGATCATTATCGGGCAATTAAATTCGAATTTTACATTTCGTTAGCGAGCTGGGAAAGTTTTAGTACATACTTACATAAAATAAGTTTGCAAAATTGCCTCCTTTAGCTATCATTACTTTCCGACCGACGAATAGATTGATTATTTACTGTATTGATTCGGCAACGATTTCGTTTAAATTAAGTGGAATGTATAATATTCATAATTACTTAATTTTAATAATAGATCTTATAATTAATTTGGTCGACTTTTTAATCTTTGAGAAAGTATCTCGATGCAAAATAATTCAATGTTTGAGTTATATAACACAATTAAATTAAATAATTAATCTATAATCATTTCTCCAACGGTTTGAGATTATTTGCGATATACATATATCACTTTATTTTATATAGTGACATGTTGAAATTCAAAATGTTGCAACAACTTTTTTTTTAAGAAAATAATGAATTCGACAAAGCATCTATTACCAAATTTAGAACCAAGCATTGGATTGTATTGTGTAAAATACGTAGGATCACGAAACTGAAATGAGATCGTAAAATATTATAAGTTCTCTCCCTCTTTCTTTCCTACGCGGTCCATTCCTTTTATAATGTTATCGATTTTCTATCTTCAAGCACAAAGAAATTCCAGCATAGAATGCTTCTCATCAAACCGTTTTGTAAGTGCATATCTCGCGGCGGTTGATCCGCTTCTTTCGAAGAGAACGAGGTAAAGAGTTGGTCAGTTTAGCCTTGGGCAGCCTTACCGAGGACCGCTTGTTGAGGCACCCACTTCACAAATTTGATGTTGGTCGGATGAATAGCCATGTTACCGTCATGTTTCCATAGAACTCTTTGCTTGAGCGAGCCTAGGGCGTTGCACAATGCGGTCAAAGGTCCAGCGGGTAGTTGGTCAGTTTGCAGATTTGAGCCCAGAGAGAAATAAATAGCACCGTCCTCAGCGTTGTCTAGGAATTCGCGAATATCCTGGAATAGTAGTGAAAATTGCGTTAAACGTATGACACGTATGGTGGATATGTATATTTTAGCACGAAATTGTATAATATTTCTAGGCGACACATACGCGTAAAGAAATTTGAAAATATTTTACATCGTTGAATGCTCGGATAGAAATAGTATTTTTTTAAATTGCACCATCAATTTTTTATTGAGATATGAATACTGTTTCGTCCAGTAGAATTATTCGTTTTCAAATAAAATCACTGAAGATAACGAAATTTCACACATGAAACACAATTTATATTTATTACTAATTGTAAGAGCTCACGCGTTAAAGGACGTATTATTGAATAGATATATCTACATTAGATCTACGTTATACTGGATAGATAATATTGTAAAATTTTAATTTGTCGTTCTTAATAACGTGCCAGATCATGAATTATTTCCAACTTTTTTTACTCGCTCGTTCCAAAGTTATTAATTATTGAATATTGCTATTTTAACAAAGGGTCTTACGGGAACTTTCGAAAAAAACAAATAATAAATCATTCAGAAACTATCAAAAACCAATGCTAAAAATTTGATTTTTGCATCATATTCTTCAAACGTGTAAAAATGTTTTAGTGAATTTTTAAAACGATTTACTTGCTCGTTTTGCAGTTATTATAAAAAACCCGCTATAATTATCGGTATTTACGACGGAACTATGATTTCGTGAATTTCTTACAATTATGTGTCGATTTGAATTCACGTTCTGTTTATTTTAATTTAAATTTTCTGATTTTTGGATTAATTGTCGGAAGAAATGATCCGGCCAATACATCCTTAAGTTGCAGTTACAACAATCGAATGTCACTTTGCCATGGAGGCATTATTGTTTTATAAAATACACATATACGCCATACAAACTTTGTATATTTTCAAAATTGCGTTAGCAACTGCTACGATAGGATGCAAATGGAACCGATTGTGCTATTAATGCGATTGATATTACAGATAATGTAACTTCCTTTGTTAATTGCGAAACCTGCGCTAGCTTTTATGGCAGACACGGCGATGGTGGTTCCATGTGCACAATGTGTAGCCGAAGGCTTTGTCCTATTAATTACAACTGTTCATGGATTTCGATACATTCTGGTATATGTGTATAAAGACGATCACACATTGCCGCGGTCACGTTCCGTTCTGAACGTCGTCCGGGATCACGTGGTAACTGCAGTTATCTTTGCGCATTGTACTCTGGCGATCGGGTAAATTTAAAAGAAACTAAATTTGGTAGAACCAAAAGCTATAAAATATTCAACTTTTATCTTCGAGCAATATATAAGCCTTATCATTATTTTTATATAAATTTATTAATCGAATTTACTCATCTCTCTCCCCTAATGGATTGAAAATATAACTTAATAATGTACCATATGTTTAATCAAATTTCTAATTTTAAATTACAATCCAGTGTATGAAACTTTAGACTAATATTAGGAAAAATGCACTTTCAATGATTGAACAATTATTAGGTCAATTATATGCTCAACTAGCCATAGTAAAATTAAACAATCGTTATGAACAAACATGTTCGACGGTGCACTCCTAGATTGACGCCGAAGAACGCAAACAGCTATTGTAATACTATGTAGAGGCGATTTCGCGGATATTTTTTCTATGTGAAGGATCTTCAACGAAATACTCTTCCAATAATATTTTCCTTGTCGGCCCTTGGGGAGACTTAGAACGGTTCGCGGTAAATAGCAATGACGTTTACCTTTACGTCGCTACGCTGAGTCGTTGGTAAACTTCTACCAACTGACTATTATTGGTCACCTGTGAGAATGGTATGTATTTCCCCGGGAGAAATCATTCTCGTACGACACACAATTTCGCCTTTCCGAGACGTAGGTACTTAGAACTGCGAGAAGCGTTTAATCGACGTAAAAATATCAACTCTCAGACTCTGCACTCGAGAAATGTCGACGCGTTTAACTCGATAAATTGTTTAATTTCATTTTACAATCTAAATGTCTTTTATCGTAAACGCACGATTTAAAGAAGCGGGTGGGAATCATGACACAGAAGATAACTCAATATAATCCACAATTGTATGAATGTACCAATAATGTAATTGTTTTAGCCGTGTTACTGTTTCGATACTAAATAATCGCAAATTTTTTTTTCTGATGCAACGTTAAAATTATTGAATCGCGCGCATAGTTTTTTTTTAACATACCATATAGTTGTAATTGCTTACCTCGGGCAAAGGGCCGGGATTTTCCGAAATATGCAAGCTGTGCACTTCGATAACGTGCGGCAGCAGTGGCTTCGGGTAACCGAACACGTGATTGTTGCCCAGAATCACCAGACTGAAATTTTTATCAATGTCGTAAACGGATGTGCCGGGTGTCAGTTCGTTAGCCATGCGTTGAGCCTTTGGTAGATGCCAGTATCGATAATACAATCTTGTGTACGTTGTATAAAGGATGTTCATTATACGCTCGTTGATTGTCATTCTGTCCGTGAATGGATACGTCATGTCTGGATTAAAATTAGGGTCATCTGGATTTCCTGTCAATCACAAGTGAGGACATTTTTTTTAAATAAAACAATCGAAATAGCAAGGTGACGTTAAATGACGTTTTAATGGCGTCCTATTAACGTTAGAGACGTGATTGAAACGACATTTCAGGTCACCTTGTTACTTGGAAAAGTATTTTGAAAACTAGTCGCTTACAGAATACGGTATATTTAATCGTGAAATGTAAAAGTTTTAAACGCAACTTCGAGTTTTTCGGTGATACTTGTGAGTTATATGTTGCGAAGGATGGGCGTTATAACACTCTATTACGCTATGCGTGTCTTACGTTTGTTCTACAACTACTTTTCTTTTATTGCTTCTGTCCGGACGGATAGAGAAATGTGTTATTGCACGGTAAATTTTGTCGCGGGTCAAGAGAGAGAAGCGCGATGTATTACAATCGCTGCGCAGTACATCTACTTGTTCGGAAGCTCAACTCTCGGTGATTGGGTCAGATCAATGAGGAGCGCTACCACCTCGGTACGCGGTCCGCCTTCGCAAAATTCGCCCGGCTTTAATTGAAATATTTCAGTAGCAGCCATGGCGATCCATTTCACGGTCTATTACGTTCATCCGGAAGAGTACTTTCGGGTATCTTCAATTACGTCGAGGTAAAGGAATCGAATGGCGGCGAGCTGGCGCGTCGTCCCTCGCCACCTTTTCTTCGACGCTCCTCGGGTCAGCCCGGTACAAGTTAAAGCACTACCGAGTAATCTATCCTTTTCCACGAAGACTCGGTCTCCGATTGCTCGCACTTTCTGCTTTAACGACAATTTACGTCAATTTCCGCGCGCGGTAACGACGTTCGTTGCTGATGCCAACCTGGGCGAGTGCGAACCCAGTAGAAAAAGACATTGCGGAACGACCGACTCGTATTCCCGAGTTGTTACCTGGGCCGGGTGACTTTTGCAACACAATAAAATTGCTAGGCTCGACGAAATAGCAAGGGTTGTTCGACGTGCACGACATGCTCACCTACGGAATCCATTACGTAGGGCAAGTTGCCCACGCTCAAAAATCCAATCAGCACGGGGAAGTTGTAGTGTTTCACGAGGGCGTAGTAACATTGGTACCACAACTGCTCTATAATGATTGCGTCGAATGTCTTGTTGCTCCTGCAACAAGTAAATTCCAATTGGATTCGTTTCAGCGTGTTGTTCGTTGAACTATTACATTCGTACTGTTAAAGTCCTTGCGATTTTAGTCTTTGTATTGTATTTATACATGGAGATACGCATTTAATTTATACCGCAGAGCTGTAATTTGCGGCTATTAACATTTCCATTTGTTTAACATCTGGGAATAGAGTCTTCATTATTTACGTACTTAATTGCTAAATTTATTCATCAGTTAAAACAAGAATGAAGATTACTAAGATTACTTTTTGGCTTATAGCTAATCATTGTTATGTTAAACTTACGTTATGAGTTCTTTAATGGGGGGACTAAATAATTGACGTTTGCACATGTATTCAGCTCCCAACAAATTTTGATGTAGAAACGCATAGGCTCCCATGTGTCTAACAGAGATAAAATTCAAGAGTATTAATTTTCTAGATATAAAGGAACACACTTGACTTCCATGAAACGTAATAAATGTGTACCTTAATCCTGTGCAATCCATGCTTACATACGAAAATGACAAGTCAACATTTTCATAATTCGGTGGAGGATTCTGTAAGAAAAATTAGAGAAAAGTCAATTACGACCATGACAAATTTTAAGAATGTATATATTAGTACATTTTTATAATTTTTTATATAAAAGTAAAATAGCGAGATATGATATAAAAATAGAGTCATTTTTTTAAATATTATAAAAGAACGAATTAATAAAAGAGATATTCAAATAGTGGGTCAGTAATTGTTGCGAATTTAAAGGAAAAACCAATATAGTACCGCGATAGTTTGTGTGCAAGGCAATCATGTTTTCGTTAGTTAGGTTTTATCCAGTTTACGTGAACAATTTAATCTCTAATTTTGCCACGAAAGAAACAGGACCATCAAGCCGTGAGAAGACACATTCAGCAAAGAGAAATGTTAGTAGAAGTAAATTGAAGCTAAACGAAGTTTGCGTAACTTTGAACTCGAGTTTAGAAAGAGAGAGAGAGAGAAAGAGAGACGGAGAAAGGAGGAAGCGAGGGAAGGATTACGCGAGACAGTGGATGGAAAGGAGTGAAGACGAACGATCTACGAGAACCTGAGAAAAGGACGTCGGTCGGAGAAAAAGCGAATAGAAATGGAGAAAGTGAAATGATAGAAGGAAAGACGAAAGCTTGATAAAAGATCGAGTCGAATATCTATTTATCAGTCAATAACTTCTCTATAACGATTCGCATTTGAGACAAATTAAATACATGGACTTAGCCGTAATAATTTTGATTTGACAACGGACTGTCAGCGGCCCAACAGAATATCAGCGCATGCAGTTAAAGTCGCAAGGTTTATCGAGACTAAACGAAAATAACTGTGAACAGTGTAATGCCTTGAGTCCTTAACGAGCACAAGGCTGCTTTGTTGGTGGTAATTCTCGTAAGCGACGATATATAGGCAAGCGTTTAATCGTAACCGATACCGGGTGGGTAAAACGGGTGGGCAAATTAATTTGGCAATGGCAAGTTTCGAACATAATGGACGCCAGTGTCTTTGCAAATAATATATTATTTCAAACGATGTAATTCAATTAATTTAAAATTGCCGCGAAGATTCCCAGGTGTTTCTAATCTACAAAATACCGAGTATTAGCTTTTATATTATATTTGAAATATTCCCCGTACAACTTTTCCATATTTGCGTGATAATTTTGATTCACGAGATTACTATAATATTTTTGGTAAACGACGTCTGTGTGTTCATTTGCAACGAGGACAAAGGATTAGAGTGAAAAAATATGAGGAACAAATTTACTTACCTTTAAAGGAACTGTTGATAAAACGGTAACTTTATGACCACGAGATGCCAGTGCTTTCATCAATGCTTGAAAAGATTGTTGGTGGCTGTAACTTGCGCTCGGGCAAATGCCTAGAATGTTGTATCCGCGGCTGTGCTGGAAAGTGCAGAATAGCGAAATTGATAGCAATACGAGTGTCACGACGCGCATTTTGGGCACAGAACACTTTCGTTCGTAGATGCGAAACGGCCGTTCAATCTTTCAGGAAAGAATCGAGGCTACCGGTCTCTCGCAGGAATTTTTAAAAAGAACCCGAGCAACGGAAAAAAAGACGAGGCGGTCCGTATGAAAAATTCAATACATGTTCCACGATCAGTTTGCTTGGGGCCACGGTAAATAAGTGAACGGGATGTCCATTGGTCGGGTGCTTCTCACTCAGCTTTGCGGAAGAAATAATTCAGGCCTCGTGTGCGCGGACCCTATTTTTATATTCGTCCAGAATACAAAGGCGGTATTCATAGGAATGGTAGATTTCGAGGTGTATATATATCTATATACTTATCTTTCAATAAGAGTAGGGATAATCGGACATCGTTATAATTTTACTGTCAACATTAAACGGCATTTGAAATTTCGTTGCGACATGTCGGCAGAAGTTGACAAAGAGCGAATGGTATGACTTGAGACAGCTACATGAGATATGATAGGAAAATGTGATATCGTATCATTGTGAATAGAGATACGAAGAGAAATAGCCACATTGATAATAGACTTTGCAGAATAAAACTTAAATAATAAGTTAACTTAAGTAATAACTTGATTACAAGATGGAAAAATTTTATTCGCGACGGAAATTCAATGTTTTATCGCATTTCTATTGTATTATTAGCTTTGCATCTAATAATATTTGACTGAATTTTTTGTGTCTCTATGAGATTGATATGCACAAGTACGAAATTGCATAACATTAATTTTGCGAGACAACTTATTTTGAGATATAAAATATTTTTATCATTGCACGTGCCGGAGAGGCAAAAAGAATATAGGTGAAAAAATATAAACGCATGGAAAAATAGCTGGGCGGAGACAAATCACTCACTGACGCATCATTACCTTCGACATATGACTCGCTCTTTCTCTTCTCGTTACAAGAAGAGGTTCTAAGTTGAGCGTAAAAGATAATACTGTTGGTGGAAACAAAGAAATATCGGTGCCTCATCTTGAAGGGATATTTCTGAAAAACAAAACTTATTTACTTTTAATAAATTATACTTGATTAATTTTTTCTTATTATGCAATCTATGATTTCTCGTAGCTCTCTGCGAAAAGAGAAAGAGATTGAGAGATAGAGACATCTTGTACGGTACATCAAATGTACTAATTTATAAAAGAGATTAAAAAATGATTTATACTTTTCAAAGTTAAATCTTTCAGCGGGACGAAGTTTTCAATAATATTGGATGTCAAGATATTCACAAATAAAAGACATAAGGTAAAAGTACCAATGGCCCGGACATGCACCTGTAACTGGACATTCGTATTTTTTGGGGGGTTTTTAAATGCAAATATATAAACTTTTAAAATAGAATGCATATGTATATTAAATGTATAATATGTACATATGTGTTCATGGCTGAAAGTTTAAATATCCATATTTAAAGACCAAAAAAATACAAATGTTTAGATATAGGTGTACGTCCGGGCATTGGTATTTTTACCTTAATAACACGTCAAATGTTTCTTAATAAAATAAAATAAAATCCAGATAGCAATGCATGTCATAAAAGACAAATTAACGTCTCTTTTCGACATATTCATGCTATGTGGGAAATTGTTTATTCGTTCATAAAGTATTAGTCGTGACAGATTTTTATATGTTCAGTAACACGATTAAAAATCGTCACGTTTTCTCTTACACTGTTGCGCAGTTTTATAGGTCAACTAACCGACTGTAGGATGACGTAAAGTAAAAATTTCTAATGCTGTGCTATTGATCCGCGAAGAGAAATATTTCGGTCCGAAGACAAAAGGTTTTTGCACGGTTATCGTAAATACGCGGGTTTAAGCACAGCGCATTACTTAGAGCTGTAATAACGCCGAGATACGAAAAGCTTCTCGTTAATTCAAGCCGCCGTGCATGTTGCCTTGATGCAAAAGCTAAGAATGGCGTATCGTGAACGTTGTCTACCGGAAAAGTCGCGCGAAAAGTTGCCTTTCAGAATGGGCTACGCTTTTCTTCGTGCAAAATTTGCTAAGAATAATTTTCAGAGGATGCTTTTTGAAACCATTCCACGGGCATATTTTCATACTACGCGCTGTGAATGGTTACTTCTGTTCGTAATTAATTGTACTAACGTCCAAACATTGTTGGTTTATCTTCGTTACGTAACGTGTACTTTGATTGATAATTTTCCCACCGTGCTTTTTGTTTAATAATCCTAGTGCTCCATTATATCTTACTGTGTCTGAGAATATTATTATTTTGAATATTTCTCGAGGAGATTCGCATGAATCTGATAAAGCTATAGTCTAACTTTAAAGAGGACCGTTGACACTGTAGGTAGGCGGCAAATTCGAATCACGTGTCAGAGTCAGATGCGTCTGATAAGGGTTGAAAGCACTTTTGATGGAGTCGCGGTTGAGGTTCATCTTGAAACTTGAGAACAAGACAGGAATGAGGAACGTGATGACTGAGAACTAAGTTTGCCAAACCATCAGGCGGAAAAGTGGATACTTTTCACGTCATCTTGTAATCAGAGTGATTAAAAGTTCCCTTTTGTAGCTATAATGCAACTTTTCATTTCAATTTTTAATCTTCTTTCTCTGTCATTTTTCCTCTTATTCTCGGAAGAAGAGCACACTTACTATCGCTTGTATTACATGACATACGTGGTTTTGCATTCTATTTAATTAAAAAATGTTAATTTTACATAAATGTCAAGATGTTCGTGTATAGAAATATTAAAGCATGCACAGGACATATTCCTACTAATTAACATGCTTAAAGTGATTTTACTGGATACTTAAGTATCAACGATATTAATGTATCGAGAATTATCTGCGCGTCATTAATGAAATTCGATTGGTCCCCTGATGATGACGAACTCGTTCGTATTTATACTGTACGTGTTTTCCGCGTGCCTCGTGTGCGAGCGTTAATCCGCCTGTTGCGGCTGTCGCGCATGACAAGATGACAGGAGCCAAGCCTGGCTGGATTCGAATGGTCGATCGGACGGGCCAGAAGGACATTTAGGATATCTGTCATTTGCGGTTTAAATTACTCCGTGAATAATACAGCGTGTTCTGGACTCTGCAGCACTACGGGGTGCTGCGCGTGCAGGGCGGCGGGAGGATTACGTGGGGAGGGAAGGAGGGGCGGGAGGAAGGACGGAAGAGGAGACCGGGTACGCGCGCCGGGGTAGGTCGTGCGCCTGCTTTTGTCAAGCCGCAACACGAGCCGCGGCTTTAATACAATACAATACTGTCGAGAGGGTGGAGATGAGAGGTAGTGAGCCGGAGGAAGAGAGGTCGGCGAGGAGGTTATACTTGCGGGCGCGAGTGCAAGCGAGAGAAAGTTCGGTACGATAGCAAAATGCTGTATGTGTCAGTAAGTAACCGTCTAGATTTGTACGCCCCCTCGCCATTCTGGAAAACCCAACAGACTGCCAGAGGATGTGTCAGATTCAGCCGCGTATGTTTTGCAAGAGCCTTACCACCCGCTTCTCCTCTCTTTTCTCACTACACCGCCCCACCCTACCTCCCTCTTTGCTGTTTCGTATCCCTTTCTCTCGTGTCATATTCCGTAGTTACAGCGGCATAGTTACAGGGACGGATTTATGTGAAAACTGCTGAAATTTAAGCTTCCGTGGCAAAACTTCAAGCGAAACTTAGGGCGAAACTAACAAAAGAATATTTCGCAAATTATTTTGCACGAAGGACTATTTATATAATTTTTTCAAGCTACTGAATAAAGCCAAGAGATATATTCTCTTTAATATCTATTTGTTTAATTGGCTAGTTTCTCGATTACTTCAGAAAATTGCCATTTTTAAACGTTGAAAATTCGTCTTTGATTACTGAATTCCTCTTTTAACTTTCAGAAGTACGAATCACAGTTTTTCAAATTATACATTGCGCAAGAAAGAGCGAAAGATTCATTTTCTTCGGCGCGTACTTGCCTAGTTATGGCTCTGCTCTGTGTACCTCCCAAAGATTGGTAGCTCCGAGCGGTGGAAAAATCAACATCCGCCCCTGTGTGCTTGTACACCACCCACTTGCAAATCTGTTGCTATAATTTCCCCACCTCACGCGAGCCATCCTTCTCGCGAATTCTGAGTTTTTGCGACGTCGCTTATGCAAGCGAAATCCCGGGTATCTGCGGCTAATTTCGCGGACCCTAGGCGAGTTTCCTGCACGGAAATCTTCCGCCATATGGCGCGCGGTTCGTGAATTCTCGTCGCTCGCTAATGTTTTGTTCTAGATCGCACAAGGTACGGCCGATTTTGTCATTACTACGTTCTACGTAGCATGAAATACCTACGAGTTTAATGTATCTCTTCAGGATCCCGACAAGTGTTTCTTTTGTACGCGATTAAGTCATTACATTTTTGAAGCTGCGGACGACGCGAGCATAATGATTGGGGTACGTTGAGATTATTAGCGCCTCAATATATTTTTTGTGACCAAGAAATTTTGACTCGAAATTGATCAGAAAATTTATAATGGCACAATCACTCTGAACGGTGTGCACGTATAAACATGCGAGTGCATCTTCGATTTTTTCGGAACAATGGGAGAAACGTCATAAATATATTCCATAAATTGTACGACGAAAGCTTTTCTAGAATTAATTACAGAGTTAAAGCGCAGCTCGCACGATTATGTACGCGTAAATATATGTATTAGCCAAGAATTCTTTGCGAATTCCTAAATGAGTTTACGACACGGGTAATGAGATTACTTCTGGTCACCGAGCATTATAGTAGAGAACTCGGTGCATTTCTGAGCTGCGTCAAGGGTTACCCGAGTTTCGCGGAAGGGTTTCGCTGATCTCTTTGCGTTTCTCGCACAAACTTAAGCATAACGCCGAGTTAGAAAAAGATAAATATTTACGAGCACTCCGTTACGCATTATGGAATTTTTATCCGGTCCGGTATGTAATACGCTACGAAAGTACTAGACGTAGCATTCGCGGAATATTTTGCGTTATATTGCAATGAAAAGTCGCCTCGACTATCTTAATATCTCACTTTTATCTCAGCTACTCCGGAAAGACGGTGATTTGTTATTTCGCCATCTCAGTTTCCTGTTTATAATCATCTAAAGATTTGAATAGTAAAAGTTACGAAATTAGTAGAGATGGAACACTTAATCCTTAAAAGATGGCTAGGTTTTTAACTTTTAATGATTTTTATTTGTCACTTTTATATATAGGTAATTTATAAAATGTTATTCTGTGAAAAATAAGCGACTCCCGTGGTGTCTAAAAATAGACTTCCCGTCTTCTAAAGGATAATATTTAATCATATGTAACTTATATACATTCCAAGTTTGTTTAAATTCCAT